AAAAAAAAAAAAAAAAAAAAAATAGCTGGGCGTGGTGGTGTGTACCTGTAGTCCCAGCTACTTGGGAGGCTGAGGCTGCAGTGAGCCAGGATTGTGCCACTGCTCTCCAGCCTGGGCAACAGAGTGGGACCCCCAAGTAGAAAGAGGAAAAGCATGCATGAAACCTGCAGACAGATGTTACCCCAGCCTTTGCATTCTTTCTCCTGTCTGGAGATGGGAGAGGCGTCGTCACTGTATTTTGTGTAGGGAGGCTGTGGGAAGCCCTCGGTGGGGCTGGCCGTCCCCACTGGGCATCGCCTGGCAGCAGGAACTCTCGGCCTGCCACTCTCCATCGGTTTCAGCAGACTGCCTGACATGTCCCCTCGCCCCTGTCCTGAGGGCCGAGTGCCTCTGGTGGTCCCGAACCCTGGTGGGAGACCCCATTGCTCTGCTTCAAGGGACCGCCAGGCCTGGCTCTCTCAGTGCCACAGCCCCTCCAGCTCCTTGCTGAGGCTCAGCCTCTGATGGTGTGGCCCAGCCAGTGCCAAAAGGACTGTGGTACAGGCCGGTGTCAGGAGCACAGAGTTCACCTGAGCTTGTTGCCTGGGCCGGGACTGCGTTGGGGGGCAGGGAGGCGCTAGAGCCGGCCATGGCCCGAGCCACTGCCTCCTGACTCCTGTACCTGACTCGCCCACCTGTCCTGGGACTGCAGACCAATGGGATAGCCTCATGTGCCGTTGGTGTCTGACCCCTCTTGCCCCCAGAAAGTTTTTTTTTTTTTTTGAGTTGGAGTCTCACTCGGTCGCCCAGACTGGAGTGCAGTGGCCACTCCCGGCCACCGCAGCCTCGACCTGCTGGGCTCCGGCGATCCTTCCGCCTCAGCCTTCCGAGTAGCTGGAATTACAGGCACACGCTACCACGCCCGGCTGATTTTTTGATTTATTGTAGAGATGAGGTCTTGCTGCCCAGGCGGGTCTCGAACCCGCGGGCTCAGGCCATCCACTCACCTCAGCCTCCAAAGGCGTGGGATGACAGGCTGAGCCACCGAGCCCGGCTCCCAGCACGTTTTTGAAGCCCCCTCCCCCACTGCTCCCCGTGGCTGGTGAGGTTCCTTCAGTGCCGAGCACTGTTCTACTGCATGAGTGTACCACATACGTGATCTCCCACTCTTCTGTTGGTAGATATATGGGTTTCTCAGTTTTGACTTTTTTTAAATTATTTTTTTAAATTTAGAGATGAGGGCTCGCTCTGTTGCCCGGGCTAGAATGCAGTGGCTAGTCATAGGTGCAGTCATTGCACACTGCAGCCTCCAACTCCTGGCCTCATGGAGTCCTCCTGCCTCAGCCTCCTGAGGAGCTGGGACTACAAGGCATGTACCTTCATGCCTGGCTCATTTGGCTGTTCTTTTTTTTTTGCATTGGAGTCTCACGCTGTCACCAGGCTGGAGTACAGTGGCATGCTCACAGCCACCGCACCCTCGATCTACTGGGCTCCTTCCGCCTCAGCCTTTCAAGGAGCTGGAACTACAGGTGCATGCTAAAGTGCCCGGCTTATGTTTTGATTTATTGTAGAGACGAGGTCTCACTAAGTTGCCCAGGCTGGTCTCAAACCCCTGGGGTGAGGCAATCCTCTTGCCTCGGCCTCCTAAAGTGCTGGGATTACAGGCTGTGCCACCGCGCCCAGCTGTGGCTATTCTTTTTTTTTTTTTTGAGTTGG